CATAATAAAATAGAAACCTATTGTGATTGAGTGAAATGGCAAGAGAGACCTTTGAGATCTATTCACTTTTTAGTGCCTGGTTTCTTTGGGTCAGGAATTCAGAGTTGCTGCTAAAAGGAGTACCTGGGCTTATTGATAGGGAGAGACATGCACAGATTCATGTGCATATTCCACTGCAGATCTTTTCCAAAAGCATCAGTGGGACCCAGACCTGCCACTGCCTGTCTCTTATTTCAATGAAATTTACTTGTGTGCGAAGAAGAGCAAACACAGCCCAACTTAAAAGAATTCCTTTTGCTTTAAATGAATACAAAAACTAATAAATGTTCTATGAGGAGACTGCTTCTCAAGGCACTGTTCCCATAATGATTTATAAACAACTGTCTAATTTAAGAGAAGTGTGCTATGTCTCCTAAAAATATTTAAAAGATACCCTTGCTGTTAAGGCAATTAAACATTCATGAGGTGGAAAATAACAAGCACAAAAATAGTCATCATAGCATCAGATGGCTAATAAATATAATAATGGAAGAGATAGATGAGTAACAAGTAAAAGAGCTAAAGAGTAACAAAAGCTTGAGTCTGAAGTGCAGAAAATAATGATGAATAATACCAAATGAGGCAATAAAATATTGGTGAGCCAGAGATTTAAAATGCTCAAGGCAGCAATGTGATTATCCACAATGATTACTGAAATTTCTTATGAATCTGCACAATGCCAGCAGCATTTAATGTCTTCCTAAGACCAGCAGGGCATTACACAGGAAGAGCGATCAGCCAGCTCTTTAGCTGGAGTAAGAGAAGGTGAGTTTCTGTACTGCTTTCAGGCACTTCCCCTGCAGGAACTGCATCATGCATACAGTTAAGCTATGCAGGAATTTGTCTCCATTACTACCTTGAAGGGATAATGGAAGGACTCCTAAAAGCCTCTCTAAAATCACATCTTTTCTATGGCTTGTTTTAAAAAGTGTCATTCTCTTTCTGTTTATGGACTCTTTTATGAAGTGTATTCTTTCCTTTAAATGTGAATTTCTGACTTGAAAGGAATAAATAACTATTTCCTGTTCCCAAATTCAAAGTCATTGTTTCCTTCCATTTAGCAGTCAGTATTAAAAATAGGGACTTTTTAAAAAATAGATTTATTTTGTATAACCTATGGATTAACAGATCAAATTTCAGATGCCTAAAATACCGCCAAATGCTGAGCAAAAGCAAACTCGATGAGGTCCCATGGAGTTACCCATTTATACTAGATAGTTGTAAATATTATTATGTATTGTTCTTATACTGCTGGGAGAGTTCTGACTTCCATAATTAAAATCGTGAAAAGGACCAGGGCAAGAGGCATCTGTATCTCACAATCATTTCTGTGTGTTTCATTTTCTTTTTGTAAGAAAGCATGTACATGTAAGATCTTCTAGTTAGAGAACTACCAACTAGAGTCAGAAAAGAGAAAAGCAAGTAATTCTCATATTGTTTCACCTTCCCTCCTCAAGCCTTGTGACTGACACACTATTTAATTGTTATTTTTTCCAGGGAAAAATCTACAGAGATCGAAAATAAACTGTTATAGCATTCTAGATATCACCAGAAAGTGACCATTTCCATCATATGAGACTTTTCTATATTTTAAAGTCTTCAGTTTCTATAATTTCACTGATCCTTGTTGAAATAGAGAAAATAGAATCAGAATCCATCCTGCATTCAAGCTGTGAACAGGAAAAAAAATAAATCCTAAATGCTCTTGGCTTGGGGACTCAGGATAACCTCTTTTATTTCCCTTTTGTGAGCACATATGTTAGTAAGGACAGCACCGTGCTTTGCTTTTGCAAAAGCAGAGACCTGTCCAGAAACCTTCTTAAATATTACACAGCAGAAAGTTTATGGAAAAATCTGTTGAATACGCAGAGGTTTTGATTCTGAAGATTCATGCCATTGATTGCTTGGGGTTAGATACATCAGTTCTGCAATTCACTATCAAATTGAAAGAAACCTGGTGGAGTTCATTCCTTTCATCTTCCTCCTGACATCATCTCAAACAGCTTTCATGTGGTTTCACTTCAGAAAGGAAGAGGGAAAGTTTTGATGTGCTGCTGGTTAGAGCACTGCTTGCCAACCTGTGGATTACTCTCTGCTCAGGGCTCACACCAGTAATGAAGGGGAGGCATAGAGCAAAGCTTGACTCACCCAGCTCTGCCAGGCCCCTTAGTTTAACCTCCTGGCAAAGCCAAGGTTAGTGCAAGAAGCACTGGTGGCCCGCGGAGCTCCCCAAGGGGGTGGAATAGTAACAGAGGTCAGAGGAAGATGAGGAGATAGCACTGGGAGGAATGCAGAGCTTGGGATGTGGGGACATCGGTGCAATGGCAAGTGCTATGGCTTAAGCAAGGCTTACAAGAGAGCCGAGGGAGCACAGTGTGGGAGAGCAGCTTAAGAAAAGGAGAAAACTGTGAGGATGGGAGGGCTTGAGGAAAGCAGGAGGGGACAGAAGCAGGGAGACATCCCTAACTGTGGCTGGCAATCACTAAGGTCAAATATTGAAATGTCTGTGGAATTGAAAGGGTTAAATCCTGCTCCAGACCCGGGCTGGGGGCTTTTACCCCAAGTCTCTAACTTCCCACCGCAGTGTCCCACTCAACCAATCTAGTTCAGAGTGGGGATCTTTCACTGTGATGGATACATTCCTGGGGAAAAAATAATTCAACAGCTTCACATTTCAGGTTTCCCAGCCAGCTCCAGTATATGGCTGCAGAGCTGGATTCAGTAAATAAGCACCATCTGCCCAGGATTTCACAGGGCTGATTCCAGCTTTGCATGATGTTTTAAAATCTCTCTCTTTTTTTTTTTTTTTTTGACTCCACTTGTCCAAATGCAGGTTTTGAAAGTTTTATTCTGTGCTGCTTGGCTCGAGTTTGATGGTTGTGTTAATTTGCTACTTCAGTAAAGTTGCATCCAAAAACCAATGGAATAACAAAGGAAAAAATAAAAATAAAAGTCTGTTTCTAACAATATTTTATGGACTTAAAGCAATGACCTGGAAATCTGCAGCTTATAACTCCTCTAAAGGGTGTGTTTCCCGTGGATTGCAATGCTATTTTCCCCTCAAAAAATTTATCTGAAAGACACAGGCTTTCCCAGGTCCCATGCCAGGGTGCACATGCAGTGAACAGAATCCAGACATGGTGAAATAGGTTGATTTAACAAACTGAAATAAATATGCTATGTTGGGACAAATAACAGGTGCAGTGTTACAAAGAAACCCTCCAGATAACAGTATTTTATCAGACTTTGAAAAGACTGCATTCTCATTATCTAGGACATTCCATGTGCATGCTATGCACCAGCTCAAATTGCGTAGATGTAATTACATTTTTCATTGCACCAACTGAATGAGGAAGTTTGAGACAAAAAATATACATATATACTTTAAAAACCTGCAGAAAAAAAATAAATATATATATATATACTTATTGCATATTATACATATTATTGCATTCAAAAAGAAACATAATAAAACCTGGAATTTTCAAGCTGCACAAATAATATCTGCCGTTTAACTGTAGTTCAGTTCATCAGCCTAACACCTAATTAAAATTCAGGTCCTGACACCAATGCTGCTTCACAGGACAAAAAAAAAAATCTTGGCATTCAGGCCAGTTCCTGAGGAGTACATAGATTCTGATGGTCTTCTCTGAGGATTGGGACTAGAACAAATCTCTCCTCAGTCAGTTTTCTCCGTTTCTAGGATTAATTAAAAGTATATATATCTGAAAGCTCAGAGGCAGAGAGCCAAGGTCAGAACTGCAATGTGTTCTGTAGGCTATGCTTCCTTCTGCCCTGTTTGAGTGCATCTACCAGCCGTGCCCTTTACACATGCTCCCATAGCGTTCATGACATTAAACAAAACCCAAAAGAAGAGCAACTGGCCTACTAGGTAAAAATAGCAAAAGCGGTGATATGGATTGATAAAGATCATGGCACAGAGGTTTCAGTTTGGTATACAGCAACGTGTACAGCAACAGGCTGACTTGTGATAACGTCAAAGAATCAGAGATGAGAGGGAAGACAGAAACTGCAAGAGTGATGACAAGGAGAACCCCCAGAGGTCTGAGTCTGTAATCACTGCTTCAAAGAGGGGAGCATGGGAATCAAGGGAGGTTTTCACTCTTCTTTTCAAAATATGAAGCATATGAAAATGAATGAATATGATCAGAGGGCTGGAGCACCTCTCCTATGAAGACAGACAGACAGCTGGGGATATTCAGCCTGGAGACGAGAAGGCTCTGGGGAGATGTCACTGCGGCCTTTCAGTACTTTAATGGAGGTCATAAAAAAGACAGCAACTTTTTACTCAGGCAGAGAGTGATGGGGGAACTGCTTTAAACTCAAAGAGGGTAGATTTAGATTAAATATAAGGAAGAAATTATTCACTCAGAGGGTAGTGAGGCACTGGCACAGGTTGCCCAGAGCAGCTGTGGATGCCCCGTCCCTGGAGGTGTTCAAGGCCAGGCTAGGATGGGGCTTTGGGCAACCTGGGCTGGTGGGAGGTGTCCCTGCCCATGGCAGGGGGTTGGGGCTGAGTGATTCCTTCCAACCCAACCCATACTATGATTCTATGAAATTATGAATGTGATAAAGACAAAAACAGTGAGCTACAATAAGAAAACGAATCCCTTCGTAGCCCTGGGAGAAAGTAGGGAACCACAAGTGTTCACTGTATCTAAACGTATCTAAATGAATAATGACATTTGATCTATAACACACGGGTTGCACTGCAAAGCCTCTGATCCTTGAGAAAATGGTAACAGATACAATGACTAATTTTGCTAAGTCTTGCGTTCATTTTGGTGTCAGCAATGGTCTGACATTAGGAACTGCATAGGCTCATTCTCCAAGTGTGAGATAAATCATGTCACTTTGGCCCAGGGCTTCTATACTGATGTGTAGTCTATGTAATTCTGGGGCATTTTAGGTCCAATCTGGTATTTATTTTCTCCCTACAGGTTGGACTGTGTGCTCACTGAAGTAACTCACTTTTTCTGCCAATATGCTTATTCCTAGTGATTTCGGCAAAACTAGCAGGTAAAAAGAATAAATTCTACAATACACATAATGGTACTAATATCTCCTTGTCTGAAGGTCATCACTCCATGTTAAGGACTGATTCTTTTGTTTGTTTGTTTGTTTGTTTGTTTTCTCATTTCTTACTTCATTTTTTTTTGTGTGTGTGTGTGTGTCTTCCCTTGGATTTCATACATAAAGTACATATTGAGTTAGATATAATATGAAATGTAAAATGTTCCAGAATTCTAACTAGGGAAAAACTAAAAAACTTCAGTTCCATGAAGTATTTTCTAATTGTTCTTAACTTGAAAAACTTTATGGAAGTAAAATGTTCCAAAAAGAACATTGTTTCTATGCAAAACATCTTCCCCAGCTTTATAAGCAGGTTACATTCTTATTCTTGTTGTATCATTCATCTGGCTTCAGCCCAGCTTGACTTTTCGCTGCCCTTATCATCTTTACTCTGCAACTTCTGATTGACTGTAATCTTTTTCATCCTCCTCTCTCTCTTTCGCTTGCATCATTCTTCCTTGCTTCCAGCACAGGACATATGTTATTACCCTTTTACTTTTTAGCAACCCCTCTTGAATACATATTAGATGCTTTGTGATCCTCATGTTTTCTTTTTGCTGAGAGATGGCTGTCTCTTCAGTCACTCACCACTGTGCGACAGATCCTTACAGGCATAAATCTGCAGAATTCTACTATCCTCCCTGGAATCGTTCTGATTTACATTAATAGAGAACCTGGCTTAAAATCTAAAGGTGCCTCTTTTGTTATACCTCAAAAGCAGCGTCATTACCTTCTCTCTTCTGTTTAAAATCATGTCTTTAAGGAAAGAGACTCATTGCTCTCCCGTAGTAATGTAGTATCTTTTAATAAGCTATAGTATATCATTTTTTAAATGGAAAATGTATTTTACAAAATCTTTTCAGCCCCAATCACTTAGGATGTCACATTTATATTTGGCAAGTAAGATCTGTAGAGACTTTAGACAGGAGACAAAATGAAAACATGTACTCTAACTGAAATCAATAGATAGAAAGATCTGTCAGATCAGAGGATCAGTTCAGGAGACCAGCCAAGTTTCTGCTGCTTTGTACCTTCATACTGTCAAAAATTACTGCACAATATGAAACACAGCCTAGAACAAGCAGCAAATGCTCATTACAAGTGGGCTGAAATGCATTTTGGAACCCTGTGGAAAGGGTGACACTTGAGAGCATTCCTGTAGTAGAGATCAGGGTTGCAGTAACTACACTAGCACTTCCCAATTAATTTTTGAGGTGAAAAACCAATTTCTCAATTGCATTCAGTGTTGTCGCAAACACAAAGGTGTTTCCAGTGACCATAATAAGCCTCCCCATGGCACAGAGGGTGACAGATCTGTGCAACTTCCTACCGTGACACTGCAGTTCCAGGGTGCTCATTTGTTGTCATTTGGGGGACATAAACAGTAATAAGTGCAAAATCTTTGAAAGTCTGTATAACCTTTCCCCATTAAAGGGTAGACAGAAAGTGTCAGGATATCAACCCTGTCCCAGAAGAATAGAGTGGTTTCAAACATGCTGGGGAAAGGAGGAGGAAGAATTGCGGCTTTCTGGTGATAAATAAGAGGGGAGCAATGCAGCATTACTCCTGCCCTAAGACTCCCTGCTTTCTGGGGTGATGTCCACATGGCACCCCTACTGAGGAAGGCACATGTGCCTCTCACAAACGTGATGAGAAGCACTGATGTCTCATGGTTGCACACCCCAAGAGGGAAACAGGATTCTGTTCTTTGTTCAGTCTTAGACCAGTAAGACTCCCATTGATCAGATTAGGTAATCCTGCAGTTCACAGACCCACTGTCACTGGAAATTAACTTACCACTGGAAATTAACTTACCACCATATTTCACACTAACACATAATTCACAATAAACAATTGCTCTTGTCTTTGGAGGACTGAACAATGGAGTGCTCCTTTCTCCAGCACATCTAGGGTAGGAATAGGAATGGAGACCACAGAGTGTTACCTCCCTTCATAATGCCATCAAGTTTTAAATAATTCATATATATAAAGTTTTTCTGATGAGGGAATATCACATAAATCTGAATTAAGAAATACTTATTCTGTTGTTTTTTTGTGTGTTTTTTTTTTTGTTTGTTTTGTTTTGGTTTGGTTTGTTTGTTTGTTTGTTTGTTTGTTTTTAAATATATACAAGGCTGAGGTAAAAGGCATTGCTGTCCTCTTTCTTACTTCAGGTGCCTACATCTGATAGCCACGCAAAGGTGCATTTGCCCTGTGTTCCTTCAGCCATAAAGCAAGGGTCACCTCAAAAGCTCTCTGATGACATAATTCATGGTTTTAATTACACACAAGGTCTTTATTTTTAACTTTGCCTGTGCTAACAGGGCTGCTTTTTGGTGTTGGAGGGTAGTGGCATAGCACACTTATGACCATATGAATAAACTTTCTCAACCGGAAAGCAGGCTAGTTGTTACATTTGTGCTTTTAGCAAGATATACAATTAAATATAAGGCAAAAATCTGGATTTGACCAACAGCATACCACAATGTGTCAATAGTAACAGCATACAGCAGTACTTCCATCTAGGATTGGACTGGAAGAGGTTAATTGACAAATAAATTATTTATTTAAAAAAAAAATGGGGAAATAAGAATGACAGGGACTTTATTCCAGTTAACAACGTTCAGGACCACCCATGACCCTTCAGTTGTTTGTCAGAGATAAATCTTTTAATCCACTAGACATCTTTAGTGTTGAATCCAGCAACTGGATAATGACAATTACCATTAGCATTCTGCAGCTTAGTACAGCAGAAGCTCATATAACATGGGAATTGATAATGAAAGCTACTGAGAACCTAGGTCTTTCAATATTTATATGTATATAGATTCCTTTTTTTTTTTTCAACCTTACCTGTCTTATTTACTATAGAGTATGCATTTTTACATTGCAGCATCTAAGACCCTAATTAAAAGGAATATTTTCTTCTACAATTTGGTGAACTGCTAATGATCATAAATTTTCTATTGCTTTTACTAAATTCAGGGTGATTTACTTGAAGGAATTTCCTAGTATTAGGTTGGAATTGTCTTCATCTTAAATGCAACATTTTACATGTAGTAATACTACTTTTTTTTATTTATTTATTTTAATAACAGGATCTTGAATGTTATGCTGTGCACATTTCCCAGGCCACAGCAAAGAAAATGCCTGAGATACTTGGGTCAGCTGTGTTATCTTAGATAACAGTAAAAACCAGAGTGAATTCTGCAACACCGATAAAATTTATCGGGCGTGTACCATGAAAAAGGTCTGTGTCAGCTCTGTCTGTTTGGCATTCTTTGTGTTTCTTTTTCTTTCTTTCCCTGTGTTTCTTTCTTTCTTTCTCTGTCTTTCTTTCTTGAAAAAAAAAAAAAAAAAAAAAAAAAAAAAAAAAAAAAAAAGTTATTACTTAATTCAAACAACCGCAGGCTTTTGCTTAAATTGAAATCCATCATGACAGTTCGGTGGACATGTGTTTGGGCATATATTGCGCGTTATGTAATCTTACACCAGTAAAGCTTCTTTCATGTTAAAGTGCATTAATGCCCATCAGCCATAATTGGTTTTGGCCTATCTGGGTGGTATTTGCAGGGAATGAGCTCTTCACAGTCTCTGCAGCTGTGCTTCTTGGGTGCCAGCATGGAGGCTGCCTGGGCAGCCATCAGAGCAGTGCTTTGTCAGCTGAAGGAGCACGGCCAGACAAATGAGAGAGAGGCAAGGCCGTACCTGCTACTCTCTCACGGTGTGAAGTAGCTGTCAGGCCTGAGGCACACTTTTTCATTTTGGAAGCAAAGGCATTATACTGTCTGTTTCTGTCCTATGCAGGCAAATTCAACTGTGTCTTGGTGCTTGCTTCCTGCAGGCTGTCATAATCAGGACAAATCAAGCAGAGCAGTAAGTACATATGTCCTTCACAGACCCCTGGCAACTATAGGCAACATAAATATTCAGTGTGTCCTTCTCATGGAACATCTCTCAAAACGTCTGTTTTGTTCGGTGGGAGGACCACAGGAAATAAAGCTACCCCAATGTGTTTTGTACTCTGAGGAAAAACAGCAAAAGTTGTTATGCATTAGAGCCCATGAAAAGGAAGCCAAATATTGGGATTTATCTTTTTAGGATGAAGGTGGGAGCACACAGACACTGGGATGACACTGGGAAAAACTGACCATCTCAGGAACTTACCCAGGATGTCAGATTAAAGGTATGGGATGACCATCCATCCATCTCCTGTCAACCACACCCTTGGCACTGTTCACACAACCACTGTTACATAATCCTGAGGCTATGCCATCCCAATGTGAGCTGCAACACAAGCACTAACCCCTCACCTGAGGGTCCTCTGACATGAGCCCTGCTGAAAAAAATAAAATAAAATAAAATAAAATAAAATAAATAAAATAAAATAAAATAAAATAAAATAAAATAAAATAAAATAAAATAAAATAAAATAATAAAATAAAATAGTGGAGTTTGTGAGACAGTCAGGCTTGTCAATCACATTGGGTATTAATCTAGTCCTAGCCATAGAGTTTTATAATTGGTGAATCATGTCATTCCACAGGAAATTTGATGAAGTCAGTAAAGTTTTAGTTGAAGCCTGTTTTAAGACTACAGTCTTCTGTATGGCCTGCATAAGCTGAACCACGTAGGAATGCATATACAGTGTGCTAGTCTAGATTCATGGTGCTATTGAAAGAAAAAATGTTTAAAGTCTATGTATGTGTGAGGTCACTGAAATAAATCAGAGCGATTTCAATCAGGAGAGCAGTTTACATGAAGGCAAAGGAATATATTTATCATAGATACTTTTCTATATCAAGTTAAAAGGTTTCAGACACAGGTTTCCCAACAGTTCTGCAGATGACTGTTTTAAATCCTACATGATGTGATTTCTTGACCTCAGTAGGTAGTTTGCCCTGGACTTCAAGGGAGATGGGACATCACTCACAAGTACTGGAAGAGAAAAGAATCTCTGAAGTCATAAAATAAGAGTTAGAGCCTCAATATTTTCTTAGAATATGCTTTCTAATCTCCTTACTTACCAAAAGAATGTAAGAATTTTAAAACCATGAGGTGAATAGACATCAGTTTACTGTTTTCCATATCCTTCAAAATTTGTCAGGTTATTTTATTTTTCCTCTTTTTTTTTTTTTTTTTTAATCTGTATTTTCTGAATTTTTCTTCTTGTTCTTGGTTGCAGCATTGTGCAAGGAAGACACTTTCTCCTGTTTTCATGACTGCACTTCAAATATTTGACTCTTGTTTACTGTTTATCCTGGCTGCCTATACTTGACACTTTATTTTCCCCTTTGCTGCCCAAAATCCCAGTAAATTGTCAATGTGAAGAATGACCACGGCTGCTCAGGATGTCAGCTGATATAAATTAACCTTGATTTCAGGGCAACTACAGTTTTTTACAGGGGTGAATCAGAAGGTCCCAGTTTTTGCCAGTGCTCAAAATCACATCCTAACAGAAACTGGGGACAAAACTCTTGCCAAATTCACTGAAATGTCATTGGGAGGAGGAAAGTTTTGAAAGCAAATAGTATAGAGAAATTCAAGGTGTTGTATGACAAAATATTTGGAAATGTGTTTTGTTTCTTATTATATCACACGTAAAGTCGTCTGATCTGCTGACCACCATCACTTCCAGATTCTTTTCTTTACTACAGATTTTTGTGCTCTTTTTTGTAATAAAATAACATCTTGTTTAATTTAAAACAGTGGAATTGTACTTTTGAATAGAAAGAATGGTAGAATTATACTTCTTTCTTTACAAAAGGCAGCACAATTAGAAAATCAGCTACCCAGTCTCTCTTGGCAAATATTTAATATCTTCTTGTAGAAATTAGAGATTACATATGATTCCAGTGAAAATCACCATGGGAACCTCTCATTATTTGTGTCTGTGACAGGTTGGGGGAGGGGGCTTAGCCATCAAAGTATAACTGAGTATTACAAAATCTTAAGTACTGTAAAATTCTCTTTTATTATGTTAGAATATAAAGTTGAAATCTGACTTTAAAATAAATGCTAAATTCCTTCTTTATTGTAACTTTCTGGAACTGCATAAGAAAGAAAAAAATGTATGAGGAAGGCAATTAAGAGAAAGAAAACTAACTGAAGCAAAGCAGAGTACTTTTAGTGTATAAAAGTTATTGGATTTTATTGTATAGAAGTTTTACATATGGATTAAATTTTTATTATACCGTTTAACTTGTTAGACTCCTTTTCTGACAAGATGATAAAAAGTTGTAACAACTAAAACTATGAAATACAATCTAGTATTTATACATTGAGTATATGTTGTTAAAATAATATATACAACAAATGATAATATTCCAAGCTGTTATGACAATACTATATTTAAAGTAAATACATTTTTTTCTGCCAAATTCTTTCTTAGAAATGTACCATCTATCACACATATGGAGCCAATTTCTAGTTTAACAGGCAACAAAATCTCCACATATATAATAAAGTTGCAAGAATGTAAAAATCTGAAACATTAGATATTTTATTTGTAAGACAGAATCTGAGCCTGTTTCTCTTCTACCTTGCAACTCAAACAGTCATTTATATGTGTTTGAAGTGGCTGTAAAATATTAACAAATGGGGATCGTTATTTCCAGTTCCCCACGCTAAGCTGCATGCTTTAAGCACAGGTAAGTGACAGCCTGTGATTTGGTCAAGCTGGCACAGCTACAAACAGCTGCCTGCCAACGGATATAGTCTCCTAATGCCATCAGAAACCTTTACAGACTAGATTGGCTTTACATTTGCTAGCTCTCTAAAGATAACTTTTTTTTTACTGTGGTTGGAAGCATTTAGAAGTTGTCTGAAGAGATGTCTTTACAGTGTTCATGTGCTGTATACTGGCAGATTACAGATGAAAAATAGTTTCTGACTGCATTTCATGCCTGCATTGCTCAGTGTTATCTACCTGTCTGTGTATTAATTTATTAAGAGCTTGTTTTTAGTTGGAGAAATGTAACATTGTGTAAAATATATCTTTATATAAAATATTTACATATTCCTGCTACTGAATACAATCATTATAGTGAAAACTCTACATTTACCAAAAAAAACACTAGAAATTTCTTCGTCATTTACCTGTCTGATAATGTTTGGGCACAACCTGGCTCGGTCCCACGTTATCTGCTAGTTGCACATGTTAGAAATTTTGATCTATTGTGAATGCACAGTCCTAGCAGACTGCTATGTAAGCATGGTTTTCAGCAGGCTGGCATATTCTGATTCCTCAAAACACACTGAGTTTAAGATTTGCAAAAAACGTGTCCTTCTGCAGAGTGGTTGAGAGTCTAGCTCTGACTGCGACCTTTGAATGCCAGAGCAACACAAAGACAGTGAGGCTCAAAGTGCACATTTACGTATTTCTTAACATCACTGGATGGTTGTTTTCTTCCTTGATTCTTTTCTTTTTTTTTTTTTTCCATATATATATATATTTTTTAATTAGACTTCTATCACTTATTTATTTATTTATTTATTTATTTATTTTCCAGTTCAAGAGGCATCTGGACAATGCCCTTGATGATATGCTTTTAGCCCTGAAGCTGTCAGGCAGTTGGATGAGATGATCTGTGTAGGTCTCTTCCAACTGCACTATTTTATTCTATAGACAAACAATGGTCTTGACTACCTATACTTGCCACCTGTGTCAGTAATGATTCACAGCCTCAGAAAATCAGACTCTGCCTACACGTTAGGAAAAAAACACACACACACCTCTCTCTTTCGCCCACAACACAGTAAAAAGATGAGGTTTGACCACAGGAAAGGTGGTTTTATGGCTTAAAAAAATTGACAGGCTCTAATAGCTAACAGTGTTAAATGATTGAAGTGCTCCTCTGTTGACTATTAGACCCTATTTTTCAGAGTGTCCAGCTGTGCATATAAATGGGCTTTAATGCTGTTATTGATGACACTGTGGGCAGAGCAATGCTGCTAGACAAAAGGAGGGCCTTTGAATGTGTTGCTGACTTTCTCTGCAGAGAGAGTAACAGGATTTAATGTGATTAGAGATTTGTGCCTGGCATTTGAGCATGAACTCAAAACCACAGGCATTCGCTCTGTCGGAGCAAACACGGGTTCAGAGTTCAGAAACCATCTGCACCAGGGAAGGTAGAAAACAGATATCAAGTTTGAGCTGCAGAATTGGATAACAATTGGAAATTGAGAGCAAAGCTACACAGCTATTTAGAACTGCTTATGCATTGCTCAGACATAGCTTGTTACTCACCAGCTGAAGAAGTCTGCCTGTTGACCAAATACAGAACAGAGTTCCTAAGAAGCATTTAAATTGGAATTGTACTTTCTGTCCTTGTCTTGTGCAGCCTGGGCCATGTATCTTCATCTGCAGCATTCCCTCTTGCTGCAAGGAGGTATATTTCTGCAGGCACTGGAGAGGAGCAGCTGGCATTTTATCTCCTCCTGCCAGATGCTTACAGTGACAAGGATCTCAGTGTGTCTTAGCTGACTGCTCATGTAGGACATGCTGCTGTGGTCTGCCCACCTGCTGAATGAAACATCTGAAGCCCAGTAAAGAGTAGGTCCCAAGACTTTATGGCTATGTCCATGATGCTAAATTAATGAATCCACTTTAATAAGTGTTACTGGGCTTAAGAAGAAGTGCTGCGTATGGCTGTGCCCCTTATGGAGTCATCTGGCCATACTCCCTCTACAAAGGACTTGGCTTTGGATCTCCTCTGGGTTCCATCTGATGCTTCTTCATCCCAAAGGTGCAATAATTTATGTGCGTGCATTTCATTCAGAATATCTAACATAATATGAGAGGTGTGCTCCAGCTCACCAAAGCAGCAGTTTTATAGCAAAAAGCATATGATTCACGGTGTGTACCATCCCAGCAAGTGTGCATATTGCTGGAGGCCAAGACTTACAAGGCAGTTTGGAAAGTCTGCACAGAGCAAGGAGAGCCCTGCCTGGTTTCAGGGCACAGGACTGGTGGTTCCCCATGGGGGTGGAAACAGGGCAGTCCCAGCCCTGGCCAACTCTGACTCAATGCAATTTTATCCACATTGATTTGGGAAGGTAAGTTAAGCCATCTAGGGAACTACACTCAGTGTTTACCCTGGACCCAAGCAGCTGGATCACATTCTGAGGTGCTGAAGAGCAAATGAGTGTTTTTCAGAGCAGGATGGGAGGAAGCCAGGATCCAAGGAATGCTGCAGGCTATGCTATCACATGTAACCATTGATTATTTTTCTGCTCCTTCAGATTTCCAAAGTAAGGCTGGAATGCCTTCTCTATATATACTTTTTATGAATTTCTGCTAAAATGTTTTGATACAGTTACAATTGCCATAGACTGATGATGGCGTTGGCCAGGCTTTTATGATCACTGTCCTCAGTGAGACCTGTTAGCCATACAGCCCTGGAGCTGAGCTCATAGGTTTCGGTGTAGCCTTGCAGTTTTTGTGAACATTCACAAGCACATGCCAGCTGAGTTTGGGAGGCAACATCTACCCGAACTGCTGGCACAGCAGTGCCATATGTCCAAGACTTGGAGGACAACATGGTGTCTATTCAATGACCCTACTGCTGCCTTTTTTCAAGGGCTGCTGGTGAAAAAAACTCTCTGTATCTGGTGGGAGTATTTTTTTCAATATCCCATGAAACTGGTATGGTACTATTTCTGTACTCATCATCACAAACAAAGACCTGTCTCAGTAACCCTGCTAGATCTCCAACACGAGCAGTAAGTTTGGGCCACAGTTCTGGCAAGACCAGCTGCCAGCCACCTGCTCAAACACTTCACTTTGCGGGCAGAGATACTAACGCGGGCAGCAGCAAGAGCTCATGGTATTTATGCATTCTGAGTCCCACATTTTGGAAAAGCGTGAAATAAGAGGTTATTTCTCCACTCTGGCTCTCTTCTATTTATACAAACCCACATGTGCATAATTCAGTCATGGAAAAGATACAAGCAGCTACACTGGGAGAGACTGTATCTGCCTCTTCTAATGTGGTGGCATATCCTGAACACGTGGCTTCTCTGTGCCTCGGAGAATTATATGAGGCTTTGGATGGGAAAGAAGCATTTCTCACTGTTTTTCCTTCTTCTTCTTTCTTTCTTTCTTTTCACAGAAATGGGGAAGAATTAAAACTGGGTAGGGAAGCAGCTGGCATGAAGATTCCTTCCACAGAAGATAGAAGAGCCGGGAACAAATTGCCCACCGACGACTGAGAACTAGCGAGAAGATCTTTTTGGCAACAAGCCCTTGCAAAAGGAAATTGAAATTAAAAAGCTTTTTGGTTTATCTCATTTCAAGTAGAACTTTTCTGTTCAATTCACACAGAAGGAAATGTCTGCGGCACTCAGAGAATTTGATCTAATTTTTAATACAATCAGATAAAAGATGTTGTATGTTTTATGATTTCCAAAGTCTTGCTGATTACTGATTAATCAGACTGAAATTTCTAATCAATAATTATTACCAGTTCAGACTGCCTGTCTAAATTACTGATGTCTGATTACTCAGGGAGTAATCATTGCCCTTCAATATATTTTCATGGTCCAGCAGGCACAGAGATACTTCCTCCGTTCTTGCTTAGCTCTTTGCAGACCTCAGTTCCCTTATTTCAGCTCAGTTTTATTTGAGCTTCAGTAGGAAAATTAGTTCCTCTCTTGCATTTTGCTGTATCCTATCCATCCTTTGTAGCTACAAACTCTTGTTAATATTGTCATCTTCATACCATATTTTGCTTAAAATTTGCCTGAAAATGAATCCTGGTGGTAATAGCTTTTGAACATTTTAGCAGGAACTGAAATCTCTCAGCATTTGAACTAAGAATATCCGACATAGCACCAGTATTGAGTGAAATAATGAAGAAAGAGCTGATTTCAGTCAAACAACTACTATTTTGAGCATTTTAATTTTGGAAACAATTACCCCAGATGTCTAAATATGAGCTGTAATTTGTGAGGCCCATGAAGGCAAATGCCATTTCTTGCCCTAGCATCATTGCTGTTTCCGGTGAGAAACTGGAGAGTTCTTTCCTTGATTGTTGCCCTGAAGGGCATAATATGCTCTTTTATTTATTTATTTTTTCTTTCTTTCATTTCTTCCCCCTCAATATTGCCAGATGAATGTGTCTGACAGGATCTGCTCTTGAATGCTGCAGCCGCTTCATAAATCAGACAGGTTAGCAGCCTGCATTACAAACCGATCCTTGAGACATAACCTGTTGCAGCTGAGACTTTTTCAATTCTTATTTGGCAGCAGTGACAGCAACGATAACATGCCAGCTTGCTCCCTGTCTGGCTGCTGAACAGAAGAGGCTTCCACTTACAAAAAGTGGAATGGACAAAGTGAATGTTACTGGTATACACTTTTTTCCTCTTCGTTGAGACTGCACAAGCTGAAGTACAGAAGTCAGAAAGATGAAAAAGGACAGTTAGGGAAACTAAACACCAGAGTGTGTGAACCTGGCATTTGCTGATTTGTCAGGGAAGCCACACAGGAATCACAGGAAATTGTGCTTCATGGATTTTGCTTATTTTAATTTCATCTCTAAATGTGTGTATAAGTACAGGACAGCATTTGCTCTTCTAGCGAATCAGCTGCTGTACAGTTTTTAATCCTTAGTTCAAAATGTGGGCAAATTTCCTCATCACTGAGAATGAGACTTCAGTGAAATGTAACAGTGAAAGGCCTACGTTCTCAGAAGTCATGGGCCATTTGCAGTGCCTTTTGGGTTTTGAACTGTTTATTTCTTAAGGGAGGCAATGGGCACTTTCTAGGTGGCCTGCTTTTCAAAGGTATCTAAAGCTACACAAACAACAAAACATTTCAAATCATTGAGCATTTTAAGTGTGAGATGAATTAGAAGCCATGCTGAGCAAGAAAATGAATTCTCACAAGTTGAGGGATGTCACTGATCCACTACATTCTTCCAATCATGTTAATATGGGGAAGTTGAGGAATTCTCAAATGAACTTTGCTGAAATCTTTCAGTGTCCACAGAATTTAATTTTTCTGCATCTATATTTATGCTAGTACTATACCAAGCATGGTACGGGTCTTTTTATAGCAAGGAACATCTAAAGATATTTGATGATAATTGATGCAGAATGGCAACATTTATAGCAAGAATTTGTTTTTAATGCCAATGGATGTCAAAATTAACCATAACAGGTTATAAGATCTTGCAAGATCACGAGCCTTTGCACCAAAATACATTTTTTAAAGTTTTGAGCATCACTTTCAATTATCATAAACTGCTCAGCACAACCAAATTGAAATCTAGAAAAGAGGCCTAAAACCTAGAGCAGAGAAGAAAGATCATGACTGTGGAAGAGAAAGAAAGAGCAGGTTTATCCTCGGCACTGAGCTCCACTTGATGTGTGCCTGTGAGGTTCCAGGATGCTGCAAGCATTTTGCTAGAGAAGAGAGAGAGAGAAACCTCTTTAATCCTTTTGCAGGAGAGTAACGGCAGGATCTCGGTACATGAACTCTTGCAAGAACACTTTAGCTCTTTGGGTATTCTTCAGGTGAGACAAAGTGGACCTGCCTAGGCTTTAGGCAGAACTGGGCAGCCACCAGCTGGGGAGATATGGGGATTACATTTTCAGCTCTCAGGACTCAATAACTCTGAGATGTGGTTTTATTAAACAGTGCAGCTGTGGTACCATGAAGTAGACCGCTCATCTAGGTAACTAAGTTGCCATCATTACATACTAATGACAGTGATGATATTACAGCTAATTTGAACCAGTAATTATCTTTATCTGCTGAAAACCTTCAGAGCTACAATAATACCTTTGTTTCAGTGTAGGGGCTTTGAGGCATAGGATAAATTATTTCCCTCAAGGGGTAACTGTGTGAGAGCTCTTCACAAAATCATCTCTCTGAGCTGTTGCATGCACTTTGGATTCATCTAAGCCCTTGCATTTGCTGTGGGCTAAGAAATGTGAATTAACATGGCATCCAACAGTGCCAACAATTGCTGTTCCGAGTTGTAATTTCACACTATTTCCCTTCAGAAAAAGAAGCAACGAAAGTCCTAGTTCTGTGACCTTACTGCTAAAGCATCCCTCAACCCTGCTGTGTAATGGTGGCTTTCAAATAGCTGTGTCTGCATTTTCCTGTATGAAATATTCAGGCCTAGTGGATCCAGATGTGTGAGACATTGCATCAAAACACGCCATGCTGCTGCCTATATTGAGCAAATCTTTATTTTATGATTTTTCACTCAAAGAACAAATTTCCATGACAGAATTTTGAAGTGTTTCTATAAACGGAATGGGATTTTTTAATGGTGTGAAATTGCTCCTACTTTATCCGAAAAAGATTCATTAAGAGGAATAAGGGAATGTTAACAACATTTTCTGCTTCGTATCTGTATTAATCCATAAAGTCAGCTCTTCTCTATTGTGTGACAGAACTGCACAGCTACATCTGTTTCATTTTGAAGCTGTGTTCATCCCTGCTGCATTGCAACAAAGCACAGCTATGGACCAGCTGCCCCTATAGTACTAAAAAAATCCTGTTAGCATTTAACAGTTACACCCTGCCTCTAAAGATCAGACTTCAACAGACCTTGTCTGCTTCACCCTACTGGTATCTCAGAGTGCCCTAAGAAACTATAATCGTAGAACTGGGCGTGTGGCATTAATAGCTAGCCCTTTTAATTCTTCAGTGCTTTTTATTTCTCGAACAGTTGGAGATCAAAAGTTTATGTCAAGTGATCTTTTTCACAGACAAACAGTACTCATATTTTTTTTGTTTCTTCAATAAGTGTTAAAAATGAACATTAATGCACATGAAGCATGATATTTCCTTTTTCCCTTTTGCCTGGACTAGAGGAGTGTGAATGATACAAAGAAAGCTTTTGTTGGAAAATGATAGTTTACCATAACATGACTTATAGTACTATAATTGCAAAGATTACAGCACTGGACACGAGCAAAAATTTCTTTGTGCAGCTGGGAATGCTTTGTGCTTTTTTCAGCTGGGAGTCCCAAGCAGAATGAGCTACAAAAAAATGTTTCTATCAATTTTGAGCTAAGAAAGAAAATGAATATTCTATTGCTGAGGAATAAATGCAATCTGGGAATTTAAAATTCCACATGTAAATAGTTTGCTTAGCTGTTTCACACGTTACATGAAACACAGGCTTGGAGATGGTGAAGGTCCTGCTCTGGAAGTTGGAAATGTGTTCATGTGTGTGTGTTAAAACTTGGCATTGAAATCATAGTCTCAGCTGTGCCTTTATCTTTTCTAATAAAAGACATTTGCAACTGAGTAGTCTTTTTTTTTTTTTTTCCCTCTCCATCATTAAGAATGATGGGTATTTAAACAAGAGCTTAGAAATAGTCCCTTACAAGCAGAAGAGTAGCTGTAGCTATACCAGCAGGGACAGAGCCATCTCAGCAAAGGAGGTTCCAGGTGGTAATGGATGCTTCAGTCCTTGCTTTCTACATCCTGCCTCCATGTATAGCACAGATAGAATAATCACTTCGAGCTCATGGCCATTCAAAACTGAAAGACAGCTAATGCCACTATTTAGCAACCTAGCATTAGGAAGCTATACATTTGCACCCAATTTTTGTGTTTTTCATTTCCAATGCTCAATATTGTTTGTGATATTTGGGAATCTATCCCACATTTGTGCAAATAGAGTTTTCATTGGGAAAAAAATAAATAAATAAGGCTACAACTTCCACACGTCTGAACATCACAACATTTATCCAGCAGAAGCTTTTTGCAAGATTGCCCCAGCAGAAGAACCCATTTCAGCTCAGTCTTCCTCCAGCCTCCTGCCAGAACACTTCCCTACAAATCCAGTGCCATGTCCAAGCTGGCCGTGGAGTTAACCACCAGGGCATAGTTCAAGACTGCCACTAACACAGAAGAAGCTTGGTGTGTCCCTGTACTACTGCTGTTAAATCCTGATTTTCTGCAAGAATGTTTAGTCCCACTGTTCTCATCTAGAATTCCCTCTTTTCCTCTGTTTAATTATGTAAGACGATGCTTGTTTCTTCTACAGATATTATATGTCATTGTAAAACTTGACAGGGAATGGAGCTTCCACAGATAATTACTTAATGAGGTGGAAGAACTAGAGATGAAAAAAAAAAAAAAAAAAAAAACACACAAAAAAAAACCACACACAACACCAAACATGCTTTAACTATACACAGCTTCAGCTATCACAGTACATGAGCACACTCTGTTGGATTGTTTTGATAATGACTGTGCACAAGAAATGGACAAACTGTTTAAAAGACTTGAAACATCTCTTCTTGAGAAAAATCAACCAGTCCCCTTCAGACCAGTCTAAACCAGTTCTCAAAGTAAATATATTCCAAGACACAAGGTTCTGAAACCAAGGTCCCAAAATACTAAAATGCAGAAATGACACGGGGATTATTATTTGCAGTAAAGACATTAAAAATAAGACCAGTGTTTTCAGTTATAGCTGTGACTGCTAAAAAAAATAAAACTTCAAGAGAACAACTGCTTGTTTCATTTCAAAGTCTTTGTTGGTTTCTACATAATGACAAATATTTTTCACAATGAATACTCTAAGCTGATGATAAAAACAGTTTGCTGTAACAAATATTTCCTTTGCCCTGAGGCCCAAAAACTTTATAAATGTGTGTGCTACAGAGGCAGAGAACTAATCTAATTTATCCTAGTATCTTGCTGATCTTCCCCTGATAGAGGAAAAGGAGAATACAGAACATTCAGGTACAGAAGGCCAGACCATGAAATCCCAATCGATCTTGGTGAATTTACAGTGAGGTTGTGCACAATTGTTCCCTGATTACTTTTAATGTGTTTCAAGGCTGGTTCTATGGGACCACTCAAGATTTCTCTTGGCTAACATCTGTACCATTGCAAATGCAAATATTTTCTGATTAAAAATAGGACTGAAGTTCATCATGTGCTTAAGCACTTACAAGGTGTTAATGGAACGATAGAGGCCAAACAATACTCAGGAACAGTTTTAATTAGCCTTTGATATTGCAACGCGGTGCCTCCTACACTCTAATTGCAGTGCCTTTGGTAATCATGATGTTTACTTGAATTAAGAGTAGTCCAGTTCGGGAAAGATTTCCAATAAGCACTTTTAGTAAGCACTTTAGCCTCAGTAATTAATACAGTTAGAAACCATTAATGAGCAGATACCCACATCTTTTCTTTTTGTTTTTAAAAATTTTTTAAATTAGGATTATTTAATTAGTTTAAGGTGAAATCCAATGTATCTCATTACATTTGAATACCATATTGAATATGATATACCATTGCCAGCAAGGACTGTAGCCAATATGATCCAGCACAGCTTTGCTGCAAGAGAGCTATGCTTTTTTGCATCTGTGCTGAGATAACTCATTTTCTATATTAACAATTATCTCATATATTTTTGTGGTCTTGCAGTGAGGGAATTAGCTTCAGTGTGCATAGGTCAGACAGGACCTGAGAATCCTGCAGCTGCAAGCTGGTCTTAATACACCTGTTAAGAATAAATATGTACTGGCAGGTTGTTTCCAACTTCATTTCACAAGGTTGTCTGGTCCACTCCCTATCATCAAAAAAAGGGTTTCTCCACCATCAAGTACCCCAACACTGTCCAGTCTTCAGACGGTAAGCTGTTAATGGCGCACACTGCGCTTTGCCAAAGTGGACTGTGAGGTTAGACATAACCTCATATACCCATAACCCATAACAAGTGACAGTGAGAGGTATCTCATGTGAGTGCACACTTGTTTTCTAGTGAGAGCACCCAGGAGGAACCAGGCCCCCATCATGCATCTTCTTTGTTTCCCATGAAAGGCAAAACCTCAACTCAGACTCCTGAGTCTTCCTTCCTCCTGAGGAGGAACACAGAAAACAGAAGTGAATTTTTGTCTTTTAGTGCCACAGATATGGATGTCAACATGCTTCTCAGCAGAGACAGCATGCAGCAGAGGGGTACTTCCTTCTTATCATCAAGGCTCAGGCATAACTGCCTTGGTAGAAAACAGCTCTGTTTAAAAAGTTGAAAATAGTAAGAGAAATGATAAAAAGGAGATGCAGAAGAACACAGTGCAAGCTATTTATTACATCCAATGCCAGTTTAGACTGAGATGTTTAGACTGGAAGATTTTGAAGAGAAACCAGTGGTCAGTAACGTATCTCGGTTTAGTCCAGAGATGCTTATTCATATTCCAGAAGAAGGTCAGTGGGGTCAATTACTGTAGTCACAACTGCACATTTAAGAGCAAAGTCAATAATTATAGAACTTTTTTTTTGTTGTTTTTTAATGTTTTAAAATAGTATTGAATGTAATTTAAAACTAATGTTCTTCAAGAAATATGAACTCCCAACTCTTTTACAGTCCTCCCCAAGAGAGTCAGACTAGAGCCAGCCCTCTGTGAACTGTGTTGATAGAGACTGGCCGACCCAGTTCTACAAACAGGGATTTTTACAAGGTGGGAAATGAACTGTGTTCAGACCTCCCTGCCTCCCTGCTTTTTTTTTTTTTTTTTTTTTTTTTCTTCTGGGATTGAGACTCTTGTTAGACAGAAAGGCCTGTTAAAAGTATAAACTTTTACTCTGCTTTAAAATGTTTGCAAAATCTGCCTCCCTGTGAAGTTGTGAGTCAGAATCAAAATGAAGGCATATGCTGTTGTCTTTGCCTCCCTGTCCTGGATACTTTTGTCTTGTTTTCCTTAACCTAAAATAAATTTAACTTTGCATGAATTCATATGGTTCTAGTGAAGAAAAAAAAAAAGTATTTTAAATAATATTCAAATTCTATTTATTTTAAAAGTTTGTACAATCACATATACATGTTATCCTTACAGAGGGGTTTGAGCTCTTAAGCCATTTTGCTTTTATTTTAAAAAATTAATAAAAATCATTCTATTTACTAATGTAAGTAATTTCCCTAGTTTTTTACTTGAAATATATAAGTGTTTTACAAAGTCATAACATGTTACTTGAAAATGTTGATTACCTCTTTATTTGGAAAAAAATATATATATGTATACATATATAAGTCTTTCGTTCTTAAAGTGAATTACATATGCACATTCATAGTTCTGGTCATTTTATCTTAATTAAAAAAGGAAGAGGAAGACATTCTTATGATGGAAATTGCTACAGAAATTGCTCTCTGTGCTAAGTTTGGTGTCTTAGGAGAGATGCACAACAGTTTAAATTCCTTAGTGGAGGAGTTTGAGAGATATTTGAGATATGGAGATGTTTTTGAGATGTTTAAGAGATTGAGCTCACTCAGGAAATATTCTCATCCTTTAATCCAATAGGAGTTAGACCCACTTCTAAGTGGACAATGCAGAAGTCTGAACTGTCATTGCTTTTTGTTTGCTTTAATTTTAATCATCAAATAATCAACTGCATCTTGAAATGTATTAATATTTATAAATTTTACAAAAACATTAAAAAGGTCTGAGACAGATTTCTCTTACCTAGTTATGCACTTGTCTGCAGGAGCCTCACAATATGTCATTTGTCTTCCTTTCTGCATCGATGGTGAAAATATCAGCCAGTATATAATTCAGTAATTTCAGTTTCAATTGACATTAGTGGAATTAAAGTTCTTTTTAAATTCAGCCATTTTTAAATGATAAGTACTTTGTTATGACTGCATTTTCTTCTACTAATCATTACAAAGTAATTAACATTATGATCATTGTTTACTTGAGAACCACTACTGCAAGCTGATCTTCAACTGATATATGTTATGTACTAAGGCAGAAATTTGACTCATCTCTCTTTCAAAACAGAGCTGAGTGAATTCTCACTGATGGCAAAACTACTGAAAAGTATGACTTCCATGGGCTTACAAAACAAAATAAAAAAATTCATACTTACCTGAGTAGATGCATTACAGCTGCATTATAGTCTGTCTCGGAAAAAGAAAAAAACTAATTTCCATTCTTTTTCCAAGGTTATAAAATATTAATGTCATAATTAAGCTTAAAATAATAACAATCATTTGACTGTGCCTGGCCTTGATAAATTATCCACAGGAATCAGGGACTTTCCAAAGAACAAAGAAGCATATATCTACCTCTTTTAAAGTTAATTAGGAAAACTAGTTAAAGTTAATAATTTCAGCTCATTTGGTGGGGTTATCATGAAAGTTTTATATCTTATTAGAATTCTAAAACTCAGTGCTCAAATTCCAGAAACAAAATACACACTCTTCCTTAGCTGCCTGCTCCTCAAGTTTTATCCCCTAGCTAAGGCAAGTTATTTCCGTTTGTTATCTATATACAGACACCTGGACTTTGTATTTGCAGGAGTAGTGCTTTAACACTTGTCACGTGGAGTTAATAGGATAGATAAAATGCTGTTCATCAAAAAATAGGTAATCTTTACTAGGGTATCTCCTTCGTCTTATAAAGGCCTAATGAACAGTATTTCTGTCTCGCAAGCTAAAGGGTAAGTCTAGGAGAGGACTAAGTGCATGTTTGCATGGAATGATGAAGACAGACCCTGAATCTTATTGCTGTCATGAAAACTTTTAATCTGTAAGAAATTTCCTCTCGAGGAGAAACTTCTACAGTGGAGAAATGAAATGCATTTGCCTAAGCACATGTTCAAATTCATAAATTACATGGTTTCCAATTCAGAGCTGCCTTATCTCCAACCAATTTAGACCAGCAGTGGCATGTATGAAGACGTGTACTTGGGATGTCTGTTTCCATCCAGCCATGTACGTTCACCTTTATATATCTTAATATATTTAAAGGAAATAGGATGTTCACCTTACGTATCCTAACATATAAAGGAAATTGAATGTCCACATTATATATCTTTGTGTTCATTTTATGCAACTTTGGAGGTCTGCAATTGATATACCTGTATCTGAGAAAGACATCTAAATGCTCCCTGCTGTCAGTTGAGAGGAGTAACTCCAGAGCTCAGGTCATGTGAGCTAACATCTGTAACTTAAAATGACACGTACCTCAAAATTGACATGACATGCACCTCGTTCTTTGACTACAAAGGGATACCTAGTTTAGATGTAGGCATTTAACTTCCAGTGGCTAAAGCTAGATGAATTGTGTTCTTGATCCTTGAATCAATAAGACCTTTTGTTTGATATCACAGATAAAGGGACATTTTAGTGTACTGG